GTTTAGGGAGAGTTTAGGGCTTAGGGCCTAGGGTTTACGGCTTAGGCAGGGTTTAGGGAAGTTTTTTCCATGAAGAACCATCAAGCTGAGTCGAGGGTCCGAAGACAGCAGCTCCAAGCAGGCTATGTCCGGTTTAGGGTTTAGGGTTTAGGGTTTGGGTGTATGCTTTAGGGTTTCGGCAACAAACAAGAGGACTCTTCATAACCCGTATACATGTGACGCAGCATGGAGGATCCCACAGCCGTTCCGTTTTGCTCAGCAGCTCCAAAACTCAAAGGCTAATTCGAAACCTGAAGCTTAGAGCCTCAAGTTGCCCTCAGGCCTAAAGCCCCAAACCCTAAATCCTAAACCCAAAGGCACTGGAAAAGGGGCCATTGCACTTAAACAAAGCCCAAAAGCCCTGAGCCCTCAAAGACATGATCTCTAAACCTCGGACATCGTGCCGCAAAGGTGGGCTTTGTCCAGTGCCCGCTCTACTTCCATGCGCATCTTGGGCTGCAAGGGAAGCCTACAAGGATGTGAGCACTTGTGCGGATTAAGGCTACTTCGATGTTCGTTGCATTTGGCTTGAGGGTGAGTGTGGCAGGGAGCCTGATAATCGAGGGGAGGAGGCGGGGCGGGGTTTCTGTCGCGAGATCCGAGTCCACGGCGGCTTCACAAGGGGCTGCGGGATGTTCGCAGTTTTTTGAAACTCGTCCACATGTTGCCCAATAGATATCCTGACTTGCTGAGCCTTGGACGAGCCCTACACACCCTGTTTTGGTTTTGTACACAAGCATGGAAGGCGTTTAATCATCGGTGGCGACACCGAAGCCGAATGGAGCACGCCTTTGATCAGGTTGGAGGATGAGCTGGACTACTTAGACGGTGTCTCGGCACCATCAATACATGTCTATTTGCAGTGAAACACGCGCACACACACACATATATATATATATATATATATGTGCACATATATGTATGTTATGTACGTATTCATATATATGTATCTCTAGATGTATAAAATATTACGTAGGACCTTTATGCTCTATTTGACGGGTCTGTCTCCCCTTCCAACATTTTGAGGATTTTAAGGAGCTTGATAAAGTCTTGAGTTGCCTGTGTTCTTCAAAGTTTTACAGGCCTTTTAACATTTTGTAACAACCCCTTAAACTCCTCAAACCCCTTAAGATCCTTAAACTTTTTGAAAGAAAGTTAAAACTATTTTGGGGCCAGGCGGCCCATTTAAAAATTAAAAGCTTGAAAATTCGTGAAACATCCGTAGAATTTTGAAAGCCACAGGCCTTTTCAACTTTCTTACGATTTTGAAAAAATCCTTCAAATCCTGATAGCACTTCAATTGTTTAACGATCTGTGGATTTCAATTTGATTAAGGGTTTTAAAAGTCTTAAGGAATTTAAGGAGCCTTGTGCAGTTTTGCAGGGCTTGTGGCTTTCAACATTTTAAGGGCTTGGAGTACCCAACAAGGAGTCTTTGCAATTGTACATATGGCGGGCCTAGCCCCCAAAAATATTCATTTTCTTTTAGCACTTTAAGGATTGTCAGAATTTTGAATTCTTAAGATTTTTTCCACAGATTTTTCTGGGGACTCCTTTCAATTCCGCTGGTTTTGCAATTGTAAATGTGGCGGGCCTAGCCCCCCCCAAAGATATTAATTTTCTTTTCGCACAATAAGGATTGATTTTAAACTTTTAAGAGTTGTGTTTTCAAAGATTCTTCTGGGGACTCCCTTCAATTCCGCTGGTATCTTTGCCGACGGTGTTTGTTTCTCTCCCTGCGTTTTTTCAAGGGAACCTTTTTTTCCCTGTGAACCCCCTTCCACATCCAAGAACGACCCCCGACCGAGTAGAAACAGACCTCTCTAATTACCTCATAAACGTCCTGCTTGCTTACCTACCAAGTTGTGTGGCTTGATTTTTATTGTGCTTTTGTTGGGATGTGCGCGAGCTCTATATGCGAAGCGTTCAAGGTGGAGTTATGCAGTTGGCGTCGCCGGAACTGTATGTAGTTTTTGTTGCCGCTGCAGTAGCTGCATGCCATCGCATTTTCGGCTTTCTCCGTGCGTCTCCGTTCCTAGCTTCGAGTCTCCTTCGGAAACATGTTCACGAAAGTCTCTCGCACCAAAGCTGAGCTCGAAGTCGCGGAGTTGGAGGCCAGATGTATTCAAGCCAAGATCGCTTACACTATACTATACTATATTATATTATAGTATATTATGTCATGTTATGTTATATTATATATTATATGATATTATATTGTATGAATAAAATTATGTATGTATGTATGTATATGTATGTATGTATATATATATATATATATATATATATTTCTTTATGTAGTTATAAAGACACATACACGCATACATACATACGTACATACATATATACTTTCTTACATACATACATGCATACATACATATATACACACTTATGTATAAGCATACATGCGTATGTGTGCATGTATGTGTATGTGTATATCTATATCCATATATCCATATATATATATATACACAAATCACTATGCTGCTGAGCTGCTGCTGATGCTGATGATGATGATGATGATGATGATGACGATCATGATGCTGATGATGGTAATACATCACTAACGAATCAGTTGTCCATCACCTACATCTTCCTGTTACGCTTCTGCTGTCACGCTGGTTGCTATAGCGTTCTGTCCTTGTGCCTAAACCCTAAACCCTAAACCCTAAACCCTGTGCGCACAAGATCTCGCGGAACACACTCCCCAGCAGCAGCACCCCCTGCCCGCGTCCAGCCCGAAGCCTTGAGGTGCTGTTGCTTTGAAGTTCCCTAAACCCTAAACCCTAAATCCTAAACCCTAAACCCCTAAACCGACTTTAAAGCTTTGAACACATCCTCACAAATATCTTGGACGGATTGCGAAGTTTTAGTTTTGTCGCTGATGTCTAATTGCTGAACCCGGAGCCGCAGTCACACAAGGAATGGGCGAGATATAATAGTCAATGACTAAGTGTCCCTGATGCATACAGTGTATTACAGCCTCTTCAAAACCTGGTCGAGTCATGTTCGCCTGCAGCACATGGGAGTTTCCGAAAATTAGGGGTACCTTATTTGGGGTCCTTATAGTAAGGATCCTTTTTTTTAGGGTACTATATTAGGGTCCCCTATTTTCAGAAACCCCCACATACCCGAACCCTGAAGCCGAAGAGCGAAGGCAACAATGCCAACTTCTTCCGCTTCCACAGCATGATCCAGAACTGCTGCGGAGGCGGCGGGCACCCAAATCCCACACCCAAGCGCCCTAAACCTACAAAACCCTAAACCTTAAATCTTAGATCTACAAAACCTGATAAACCTAAACCCCTTCAAGACCAGCCCTCTTGGTTTCATGCTTCTGTTGTATATTCGGTTTGAGGCTTGCGAAACTCTTGCATCCCAGACGCACGGGAAGTGGCCTTAGGTGTCAGTGCCTGGACCACCAACAGCACGAGGCTGCTCAACAAGGAGGCCGCCCCGAGCATCTTACTATTGGTTGATAGGCGGCGGTTTAGTATTGTTGCTGCTACTGCTACTGCCACTGCCACGGCCTCTGCCACTGCCAGTGCTACTGCCGCTGCTGCTGATACTGCTGCTGCTAGTGCTTAAGAGTGGCAGTACTTCTAATGATGCCGAGAAGAGAAAACGAAGGGAGAGCCGAGGGTCCGCTTCACTCAGAACTGGATCATGTGGCACGGGCGAGACGGACGAAAGATGCAACCCCAGAGGCAAAGCCTGACGGTCAGATGCTAGTAATCGCAGCTCAGATCGCCGTAGCCAGGCCCACACAGTCGACAGAGAGCCCTGAACTTAAAGCCCCTGAGATAAGACTCCAACGGCACCCCAAACCCTAAACCCGAAACCCTGAGGGCCACGGAAGAGCAGGTCACAAAATGATTCCGGGGTTAACGTAAGTGTGGAACCAAATGGAACCACCACAACAGCCTGCCCAAATGGGCATGAGAGACGTTGCAGAGCGGACATCGAAAGGGCCGTCAAAAAAAAACCCTAAACCCCAAACCCTAAACCCTAAAACCTGACAGAAAATGCTGTGCCCCGAGGCCGATGAAGCACTCTGGGTCACGGAGCAGTCCCGTGTACGGCTTGGCAACAAGAAGAGGACGGGATCTGGGAGATGAGGGGTTTAGGGTTTAGGGTTTAGGGTTCAGGGTTTAGGTTTCGAGGCGTTCCTGGGATTTGAGGGTTTGCGGGGGTTTTGCGGTTTGAGGCTTTAGCGTTCGAGGGTTTAGAGCGTAGCGTGATCGGTTTCGGGATTCGGGGTTCATGGATTTTTGGCTTGAGCGTTTAGTGTAAGCGACTTCGGCTGGGATCCTGGTGGGGTCCTTGAAAGGTTGGTGCCAGGTATGATTCTGTGGGGTCAATGGCAAGGCGGGTCATGCAAGAAGACTACTTTGGGCTTGTATGACCAAAGTCATCCTAAACCCTATATAAGCCCTAGACCCTTACATCCTTAAACGACCCTTAAACCCTGAAATCCGGAACCCCAAACCCTAAAGCCCTTAAGCCCTAAAGACCAAAAACCCTTCAATCCTTAAGTCCTTATGCCGTCAGTGCTAGAGCTCGAGCTTGCCAGGCCTCACACAGTCTTTCTAGCGGAGCTCTCTCTCTCTCTCTTTTTTGTGCTTTTTGAGGGGTTTGGGGTATTAGGTTTAAGGAGTCTCTGGGCGTCGGGATTTTTTTGTGTGCCTCTCCTCCAAGGACTCCGCGTCTGCAGCTAGCTTTGAGCAAGTGGGTAGTTTTCTAAATTAGGGTCCCTTTTCTAGGGCCCCAATATAGTACGGCACCCTTATAGAAAGGACCCCAAAAGGGACCCTAATTTAGAAAACTACCCATATAGATAGAACCCTCATAGTGCCCTTATGGAAACCCTCATAGATCCT